CGAGGTCAAAGAAACAGCTACCAGTTTAGTGTTCCAGCTAGGGCATAGTCTCGAATACGTTCACTCTAGTTCCCTACAGGTACAAGAGTGATGCAGTTTTCTGAGGGGAAACATGAATGGGAGGAAGTTCAGATGGATTCAGAGGTGAGATTTTATGATGTTCTATAGTGACTAATTCCTTGAATCATGGCAATAACAGGGCCCAGGAGATGTACCATTTCCACCTCAGTCTACTGATGGCTTCGCCGACTATGTTGCTCGATGTCACTCCAACCGCCAAAATAAATTTAAAGACCAATTTGCAGTATGAAACCTGTGAATATATTAGTGAAACATCATTTGTTTTCTGGACTAAACTTTTTCAGTTAATGCAAGAATATGACACAGACTTTCCTAAAACAGTTGGAACAAGTCACGGTATAAAGAAACTCAACAGATTCAATAACATCACCGTTTGTAAGTGTTCTTTGGACTGCGATAATAACTCTTTTCTGCAATTGCTAATGCCTTTTACCAGATGATCACAATAGAGTCGTTCTTAGATCCATTGATGGGCATTCGGACTGCCAGAGAGATTTCATCAATGCCAGCTTTATTGATGTAAGCTGTCACGTTTCCCTGCAATAAGCTAGTACTTTTTGAGTAAAAGAATGAATACTAATCTTATGACGTACTTTTTATTTTCATAGGGATACAAGAGAAGACAAAAGTATATAGCAACTCAAGGTTAAGAACTGAACCATTTTAATAATGACCTACAGTATGGATTGTGGTTATCACAGGGCCACTGCCAAAGACAGTGGTAGACTTCTGGAGGATGGTGTGGCAGGAGAGGTCTCAGACCATTGTGATGCTGGCCAATCTGGTTGAGGCCAATTCTGTCAAGTGTCACAAGTACTGGCCGGAGACTGGGACCCTGTCCTTTGGTCCCTTCAATGTCACCATCACAGGACAACAGATACTGGCTGACTACACCACTCGGGAGTTTAGTGTCCAGGTAATGCACACGCTGGTGTGTAGAAGCATCTTTATATCGAGTCTCTCCTCAGCTGGCAGAGAGTTCAGAACCAGCTCTGAGTGTGACTCAGTTCCACTTCACAGCCTGGCCTGACCATGGAGTGCCTGACTATGCCACTTCACTTCTCGCCTTCCACAAGAAAGTGAAGAAACATCACAAGGAAGCAATGGGACCAATTACTGTCCATTGCAGGTACAAGAATTTGCATGGTGTAAGCTTAAACGATTCCGTTGCCTATTCAAACAGTGCTGGTGTTGGGAGGACAGGGACTCTGATAACTATTGACTGTGTTCTTGAGCAGCTGCAAGGGGAGAAGGTGGTGGATATAGCTGGTGTCATCATCCACCTCCGCACACAGAGAATGAAAATGGTTCAGAGCCTGGTAAAACACCAGAAAATTTTAAAGTGCTCACTTCATTTTAAGACATAACACAGGACCAGTATGTCTTTATCCATGATGCCATTCTGGAAGTTATTACGTGTGGAGATACACAGATTGATGCTGGAGATTATATCCAGAAACTAAGGAAGTACAAAAGTTCACCAAATGCTCACCCAAATGAATTTGATAACCAGTTTAATGTAAGGAGCCAGTGGTGGTCACTGGCTATTTACTTCTTGTCTGTGTACAGGCATTACCGTAGGAGTATATATTTGCCATTGAAGTAGGGCCTCATTGTACGTTTTTCACTCAGGAACAGTGAATCAAACAAGTTCTTGCTTTGCGCTGTCATATGTCACAGTGGGGGCTCTTTGTTACCATTATTCTCAGCATTGTTATCTATTACCCCACAGGCAGTAGCTATTGACCCTTTATGGCTATGAGTGTACCGTAATATTTTCTTCTTGTCGTTGGCTCCTTAGACTGTTTACTTCTACACATAGGTCTCCAGTTTTTGTGACTGTGTGAGTAAAATCCATGAGTACGGTGCTTCACAAACCACATTATGCACGCCTTTGTTGAATTAAAAGTCCGACAATTATGCAATTGAAATAAACTTTTGACTACAGGTTCTTGAGAAATTATCCCCTACACCAATGGAAGTATCACAGAAAGTGGGTCTTAATAATCCTTCCAAGAATCGCAATGATCGCTATCTTCCTGGTACTGATACACAGAGAATGAAGGATATTCAATCATGCTATTATCTCTCTGCAGGTGATCAGTGGCGTGTTGTATTGAGGGGAGATAAAGTGGATTACATTCATGCTGTTTTTGTTAATGTAAAGATCTAGCATGTTTTTTCACTGGTGTTGGAATAGGTGTATAGTAGCTAAAGTCCTGTATCTCAATGTACAGGGTTACAAGCAACAGAGAGCATTCATCATAGCTCAGAGTCCCATGGAGTCCACAGCCAGAGATTTCTGGAAGATGGTCCATGACAGGAAGTGTGGAGTCATTGTTATGCTCTGTGACTTGGTAGAAGATGGAGAGGTGAACATTTGTGTGTGTTTCATAACAGTATAGGAAGTGAGGTGTCATTGTAGGAGACGTGTTATCAATACTGGTCTAAGACAGGAGTAGCTCAGTTTGGAGAATATACAGTTGATCTGCTAGAGGAAAAGGCAGTCAAGGGATTCCTCCTCCGTAAAATCACTGTTTACAACATTAAGGTAGACGTGAACCATCTTAATACTTTTAACACAACTGCTATTATTTGTGGTGCAACAGACTGCTGATGCTCATCAGGTTGTCCAACTACACATGGTAAACTGGAGTCCTGATGGAAGCTGCTCAAACCTCACCACAATCACTTGTGTCATACGTGAGATGACGGATATTCAAATGAAGACTGGGAATCAATCAATTGTAGTTCATTGCAGGTGTGAGCATTCATTCATGTAGGCTAAATATAGATGTTTGGAATCAGTGTATATGAGCATTCAATAATGACATGGTGACACCTGTAGGCTTTCAATGTTATTTCTGTGATATGAATGACAGACTGACACCTTTACGCAACACTTTCTTCTGCAGTGACACAGTGGGTAGGTCAGGGATGTTCTGTGCCATAGTCACCACCATTGAGAGGTGTAAGACAGAGGGAGTGGTGGATGTGTTCCAGGTGGTCAAGGCTCTCAGGGTACAGAAACCTGGAGCTGTCCTCACTGTGGTGAGTTATCTCTATATCAACCTACTAAACTTTTGCAAGGGCATATAAAAATGTCTTGCATATGAGCATATAGAAGTCTGCATTTGAGCTTAGACATGCTTATATATATAATGTTTAACCACAGTTTCTTTTCCTATTGCCCACTGCATTTCTCTCTTACAGGCTCAGTACCGCCTGTTGTTTGAGGCAGTGTTGGTGTATCTGGAATCATTTGATACATACAGCAATTTTGTACGTAAATAGGAGGCTTTCAGAAACAAACACTGTAGCAAACTGTTCATTTATTCACAACCGCTTTTGCTGCATTTCACTGCTGATTTTTAATTATAATGGGCAGTTAATGCAGTTTTTCATTTAGTGATACATACGACCCAACTGATTTCAACACACCACACAATTACATTTTTGCGTAGTATTTACCCACACGTTCCTTCCTGTAAGCTTCTAAGGTCAATGAGCTTGTGTGTGTGCATCCATGGCTCCACTCTGACACATTGGGTATGCTAGTGCAGAGCCCTTTCCGCCTTTTAGTGTCACGCAACAGGAGTGGGTTAATAATAATTAGGGGAAAGATTTATTTTTGTTCAACGAAAGTGTGTTATCTCACTTCATTGACATGTTTTGTTAGATAAATAGGCATGCTCCACTCAGGGACATATTATAAGTTTTGGGCCTTGTACAGGCCTGTCCTCCCCCCCTCCGTCATGACAGCTATGGCCCCTCGTGCACATCGGTGTAGAAGTTACTCCCGCCCGCATGGAATGCAGTGTTGTTGAGGTCAGGGATCACAGGCTTGTGTTTTGACTCAGTACCAGGGTACGTTTTTCCAAACCCACTGTTGGGGTATGGCACCGTTTTACTATTGAAGTTTGTAGTACAGCCACCACAATGTGTGTGACTCACTTTAACAAGATCTGCCCTCAAACATCACCCCCACAGAGTGTGGAGAATCTGTTCCACTGCAGAGACATTCACCCACAATAGCACTACACCATCTTGCATATGGTCTGGAGCAAATCATTATCCCTTGGCGTGCACGCACTGCGAACGCATCCAGCACTTTGTTCCTAAGTCTCTTGGCCTGTCTCTCTTTCTGTCTGCCCACTCTGCTTGTATTTCGCATCACACATGCGATGACAAGAGCTGAATACTATCTTATTTGGTATGATAAGGTTATCAAAAGCTAAAAGTGTTTGAGAGTGCTTGATTCACCAACACCAAATCAACTGACACACATGCCTTGCGATCTTACGGGTGGATGGACTTACATGTGCTACCTTCCCCCTGCTTTCAGCTGATGTACTGCAAGACTGCCACTGTATTTAATCGAAAAGAAAGTAGTTAACTCACATTTCATTTCTGTAGCAGAAGTTACTGAGGTATTATCACTTGGACCACCTGTAGGTATAATAGTGACAGCATTGTTTGTTGCGTGGTGCACGTTATTGAACAAGAATACATTTGCTAAGCAAATGGAGCCTTATGTACACGCACACAGTTACGAAGAATCACATTGGACAAAATTGTATAATATAAGGATTGCAGCGAGGGATAGAAACTGATATGATGTACACAAAATAATGCATGCAAATCAGACGACCAGGTAGGCTTACTACGCCAATATTTCTAATCTGGTTACACATTACACTGTGTTTATAATTAGCTGTGTGAAAAGTGCTGCATGCAGCTTCATTGAGACAGGCTGCATGAAGGAGGCATACTAATGTCTTAGCTATTTACATGCTTAATGTTGATTGGCCACTCTTACCGGACTGCATTCTAGAGCACTGGACCATGCTCAGAGTTCACTGATGACTGCCCATTACACAATACAGTGAATGCCCCTGTACGTTTTGCAGCTTTTGGCATTCTTGCGTTCAGACAGAGTGAACTATGATGTATAGTTCGTAACTTGAGTTTAGCCCAAGCAAACTTGTGGAAATGTTGAACATTCTTGGCGAGCGGGAGCGACCCAACTTGGGATTTGCCCGGGCTGTATAACGTGCCGTCAGCGCACAGCTTTCCTTTCGTGAAGCAAGACAGATCTAGGTACCTGTCGCCGTTATATGCGTATTGTACATTGGTAGAACGGTGAGCAGGTGAGCAGACGGTAGCTACTTACCTTATGCACCCAACTTGGGATTTGCCCGGGCTGTATAACGTGCCGTCAGCGCACAGCTTTCCTTTCGTGAAGCAAGACAGATCTACCTGTCGCCGTTATATGTATATTGTACGGTGAGCAGGTGAGCAGACGGTAGCTACTTACCTTATGCTTTCAAGTCGTCAGTCGTGGTCCACCAGGCAGCTGGCATTCAGCAGTACGTGCACGAGCAATCGGCGTATTTGCAAGTTGCACCTTGGAAGCATGAAGATTGGGAAGTCAAGAGGTACAGCCTTGGTCAGTCACCGAAGGTTGCAGCGCATGCCGTCGAATGGAGGAGAGTTCTCTAGCTGGCTAGATCGTCGATCGGCGAGGCATGCACCGTGTGTGAAAATGCGTAATAATTTTGAAATAGTTTCGGATAAAAATCACTCATGCGCACTTACACGACGTAAGAAAGACGACAAAAAATTCCGCCCGAACGAACTACTAGGTTGGCTCGCTCCCGCTCGCCAATTACAGTTTTCTTTATAGCACAGTGGACAGTACATACACCGTAATTGTCTGGATACACAGGTTTAAATAACTGTTGAACAAAAGAGGTTACCGTTGTCACCAGGGTAATCAAGTACGATAAGAGCACAATGATCTCACCACAAATATATTTTTATTTTCTCACCAACTGCTATAGTGCTGGCTGCAGACTCTCCAGACAGATGTTCTGATGTAGCCTCCACTGAGAAAATGTAGATAAAACCACTACAAAGGTTGGATACACTAAGGTGTGACGAGGATACAGGTGCATTCTCTGTCATGTTATCAAGTTCATGGCTGTAGTGTACTACATATCCAGTCACTGTGGCTCCTCCTGATGGCTGACTCCACTCCACTATCACTGACGTAGCTGATGTCTGAGTCAGTGATACTATGATGGGGCTTGAAGCAACTGCAGTGCATGTAAATAGCATTTTTAAACCTGTATATAAATGTAACAACACTGTATCCTGATACCTTTCAACATGGTGGCATGTGTTTTATCTGATGCGACACCATTCGATGCAGTACATTGGTAGATATCTCCTTCATTCCCTCCTGCTATGATTCTAGTGTTAGCATAGTAGGTATCATTTCCAATCCTCTGAGGTTCACCGACTGCTTTAACTGGTAACTGTTCTACGCTGGAATAATTTATTCCCTCAACATTGATTTTTAGTGCCTGCCCTCCAGTAGTTGTACATGTAACTCTGAAGAACCTCTCTCTTCCAGATACCACCTCAATGGTAGCAAAGACCGATAAAACTGTAGTTAAAGACAATATTACGCTCAGACTACTACTACAACAACGTAAGTAGGCCATGAAATACGCACTCACTTGGATAGTAAATACCAACTGAGACAGATGAGGAAATAGTGTTTGTATCAAAATGAAGGGGGATGTAGGGATGGCGTAAATTATGAAAAAGGATGCCAACAAGAAGATGCTTTAGCTGACAACAAAAATCATACATCCATCCCTACATCTTTCTTTCGTTTGCTCTGTATCAGAGCGTCGGTAGACGCCCTTAAAATGTGTGGTTACCTGTCATGAAGTATGTAAGATATAATTATACATAATTCACAACATAATAATGATCACAGTAGAGGATGTGTGAGTAAAGAAAGATGTAGGGATGGATGTATGATTTTTGTTGTCGGCTAAAGCATCTTCTTGTTGGCATCCTTTTTCATAATTTACGCCATCCCTACATCCCCCTTCATTTTGAAGAAAAGATTTTTCCACTTGTTCCACTTATTTTTTTAGCGCATGCTAAGGCCCATGCACCGGCCCCACCCTTTTCGCGCAGCAGAGCGAGGGGGGCCGCTGCGCTGCAATGCACGCTATGGCCAGCTAGGCGGCCGGGTGACGTAATAATTTCCGCGCACTTGCGCGCGCCTCTCGCGCAGTAGTGTATAGCAGGCGCATGCGAGACATCTAAGTTCAAAAATATTATTCAACAATGCATGTGATTTGTTGTGCAGGAGAGTTCACTCTTCTGAAGAGGTCCATCTACCCAGCTGAAGTAAAAGTGGAGGCCAAAGAGGGTAGTGGGTGTGTAGTAGAAGCTTGTACATAGGGTGCAGGTCTGACAAGTGGACAGCACCTTAGAAGATAAAGATGGTAAATGATGAAACCCAAATTGGCTAGGAGTATGCTTTACAATAGCTATATCAGCAGTGGTGATAGGGGTACAGGATGTGTAAAAGTCAGTGATAAGGGCTAGGGAAAACACTTCAGAGCCCCACCTGCCAAGGCGCCAGATAATCTGATTACAGTGATGTCCGTTCCCATGACAGTCACCCTCCCCTGTATGGTTGGAGACACCAGGCCCCTTAGACAGAAAATGACAGCCTTCAGAGACCTGCAGAGGTAGAGAGCTTCCCAGGGGAAAACAGATAATAAAGAAAAGAGGAGCCTGTATTATAGTAACCACCTTGTTCAGAATACTATGTGAAGGTGCATGTAGGAAGGGTGCTGATAATATCATTATTTAGGTGCACTGATATTTGGGTGAATGTGTGTAGCTTCAATGTAGTAGTATCCCAACAGGTGTAGCTACTGCACAGTGCACTCCTCAATGGAGGAGGATCATATTACTGACAGAGCTAAGACCTGTTTCCTGAGGGATTATTCACTACTGTTAGCATACAACACAATTGTCAGTGTACAGACATTCACCTCTAACAGTGTGCTACCTCAACTTTGTGATGCAGTTACAGTCCCCTAAAACCTTGTGGTAAAGACAGTGCAGTTTCCCTACACTTGAAACCAGTCAGCTCCACGAAGTCTGGAGACTTTAGGAGAGTGGTTAGAACATGAACTGGGGAAGCCACCTCATATAATTGCAGGGACCCACCCTCTTCTTCCCCAACATGTTCAGAAGTCATGTACAGGACATGTAAATCACACTTTATACAGTGGTTATAGCATGAAATGGGGAAGCCACCTCAACTAAATTGCAGGGACCCACCCTCTCCTTCCCCAATATGCTCTGAGAGGTATGTATAGGCACATGTGGTTACACTAATTCTTCCTTATGGAACCAACAACATTGAAGTGGTTTCCTGTGTGCAATAGATACATAGACCTCTGGTAAATGTCATCCATCAGTTGTCTGTCGACATCATGAGGAGATACCGCTGCCACTGTGCCCATGCTGCTGGCTGTATGAGAAGACAGGGGTCTGGAGCAGGTGTGCCAAAGACAGCATCTCAATGTCAGTTCCCCAGGCCCCATCTTGGTCCATACCTGTGGAAGCTATATAACTTTGAATACTGCCATAGCCTATGAGATGGTGGCCTAGGAAATATTGGGCATTATTTGTCATGTGGTCAAGGATAGCATGTCGTACACCCATATGCTGATCCTCAGACCCTGTCAGAATATAAGATAATGCCGTAAAGAGGCAGTTACCATCTCCCTGTACGCGTCTCACACTACGCATGTCTGGACGTGTGAGGGGGA